CATCTTGATCATCAATCGCATATAATTTAGGTCCCGAACCAAACACACTTTCGTGTTCATTGGAACCAGCCACTTAGTTCCCACACGCATTTTTTACAAGATGTGTGGACTAAAAAACACTTTTCTGTTCTCTCAAAGGCTAGCTAATCACACAGTGATGACTATTTCAATACTCAAATCGCGAGACGTCATAAGATAGGTCTGGAAGCCGTCATTTTAGAGGGTTGGATTGAACAAAGGTTTTAGGCTATGCTGAATTAGGTTTAAAAACTACGGTTCTTGGACAGAGTTTTGTGTCACATTACTGTGTACGCATTTTTTCGTATTCAGGACTTCGTGAGCAAATATTTGACATCGTTCATTCTCATATCGCGTATCTTCATGTAGCACTTCTTCATACGCATATCTTCGTAGGCGCGATTCTTTAAGAACGCAAAAGTTCGTGAAGACAAATCGTCGTAATGCTAAACTCCGCATCTGCAAAACTTCGTGCACGTAACTATTCGCATCGCATTGATTCGCATGCGCATGCCTTCGGAAAGCACTTCTCTATATACGCTATTGTTTGCACCGCATTTTTGGCATATTCAATCATTCGTGTTCCATTTTTCGCACGCGCCTGTCTTCCCATCGCGATTATTCTCACTTGCAAATATTTGGATGCGGGGGAGAGAGCAAATATGCATGATCAGGTAATGGGCAAGATGGTACAGAAGTGTGATGTCATTCTCAAATTCATATGTATAGGACTGAGTACGATAAAATAGCATTAGCAGTCTCTTAGATAAGAAGCTCAGCCCGAAATAGTTATGAATGCGGTAACTGTACGTATAACCGTGCGGTTCCTGGTATTTTGTTGTGCCCTCGCCGCTTTGTTTGTCGCATGCCGAATGTTTGTGGCACATTGGTCCGAGTATCGTGTTACCAGCTGAGCTGCAGGAAAAGAGAACAGACATCAGAGGAAGGTTATGTCATGCATCAGTCACGCGGGGCCATGTGTAGTTACAGGACATTATTATGTGTTCTTTGGGATGATAGAGTGTGGCCTGCAGTTAAGGCGGGGAACTACAGCTAAGAGACAGTATAAGAAAGGGATAGCGAAGGCAAACAACGGAACAACAGGAAGGATAAGCAAATAGCGCCATGCGAGAATCTTTCGTGATATCTTTCCAGCGGGTCACAATTCTGTGTTGTAAGAGCCAGCTCCATCGGGCCCAGCACACAAGTATCGGTTGACGCCATGTCACTTCCAGCATAAATAAAGCAGATTTAGTCGTACACCACCGTTTCTGCTCTTTATATCACATATTTCATGCAAGGGACCGTTTACGCAAAACACACGCGATGCGGGGTGAGATGTATAAAAATGTTACGGAAATAAATTCGATGCAAGGAGACACGCATACAACAAACGCGATAACAATGCTGGCGTATACGAATAAATACGACACAAAGAAATGTGCGCATGAGGCAATGCGATGCGAAGATGTGCATGCGCAAAGAAATGCACTACAAATATACGACATGCAAAAAAATGCGTATGCGAAGAAATGCGATTGGAAGAATTGCGCAAGCAAAGTTGTTCTGTCATGAAGATTTTCGGATAAGCAGTTTAGCGGATGCGAATATTTCCTTACGAAGACTTACGTACAAGGATTTGAGTCGTGAAAAGTTATGCACAGATTTGTGTGCGAACATTTGCGTATGAAGAGATGTTCCATGCAGATTTGCGTTCTAAGCTTCGCGTATGAAGAAATGCGTTCCGAATAAATGCGATACAAATTTTGTCCGCCACAAAAAACCCAGCCCAATATCTTTTTGGTGTGTCGGTAGTGTAGCAGTTAAACTGCACACCTGGGAGACCAGACGTGCGGGGTTCGCTTCCCTGCGGTGCCCGCCCTTCTTGCCGGGATGAGAGGTAAGCGACACCATACAGTCTCAACAGATGGGTGCTTGGTAAAGTCCCAATGACATAACGATATTGGGTTTTCCCCATGGCTGACCCAGTGAACACGATATGCATGCCAAGCAATGTGATGTGAAAATATTCTTATTGCAAAACACTCCAGCAGGAAATTGTTGCACTCCAACGTAGCACTTTAGAACCGAGACTCGAACTCAAGCTCAGCCTTCCAGAATTTGTAGTTTTGTGCGCTCGAAATGACAAAGGAAGCAGAATCGGACCCCGACTCAGGGTCATGCAGCTCGGACATAAAATTGCGTGGTGCTCAAAACGGTCTCTGTACTCGTACTCACGTTCTTATTCTCCCACCCACGCGTGTGACAGGGGCATAAAGTACAGGTCTAACTTAATGCTTGGTGGTGCAACGCCGATGAGGTGAAGCCGTTACAACAGAACCTGCAATTTCGCTGAGAAAGAACAGCATGCTCGTGATCGGAATCAAATAGAAGGTGCGTCAGACGTCTGCACACGACAGAGGGTGCATCAGATGTCTGCACACGACAGAGGGTACGTCAGACATCTGCACACGATAGAGGGTACGTCAGGCGTCTGCACACAATAGAGGGTGCGTCAGACGTCTGCACACGATAGAGGGTACGTCAGACGTCTGCACACGATAGAGGGTGCGTCAGACGTCTGCATACGATAGAGGATGCGTTAGACGTATGCACACGATAGAGGGTGCGTCAGACATCTGCCTACGATAGGGAGTGGGTCGGACGTCTGCATACGATAGAGGGTGCGTCAGACGTCTGCACACGATAGGGGTGCGTCGGACGTCTGCACACGATCTAGAGTCGACGGAGATCATTAAAGTTCACTTGTCCCGTCTGACCTTGTAGGGCTGATTGTCTTATGACAAGAGCTGTTCGAGAATCATTGTTCTGAGCCGATAGCGCATCGTTATCTACATGCTAACCATGCATATAGTTGTTACAATATGTGCAAACACCAAATAGCAGACCCAAAAGGGCGAAAGCCATTATGGCGTTTCTTGAAGCTTTATCACTGGGAGGAAATCATTTTAATAACCTCATAGTCTTTTGCAATGAAATCACACTTCAACAATGGGACTTGACCAGGAACAAATCATTTTCGCAAAGTATGCTTCGCACCTATGCGAGAAGCTGTGCCATAATCTGTACCAGAGTTCATGGCGTCACCCTTGTACATTTTTCTTAATCCCGAAGGGCCTCTTGGAAAACAGGCCCTCCACTCACCCAGTGAGGATCACGTTTGTACCCGGCTCCACTGCAAACACGCCAAGTCAGGTTGAATCAGCGGTCAGCTCTCCCGATTGTGTTATGCTTGCGTGTCTGAAGACTGAGTTATGCTCGCATGTCTGAAGACTGAGTGATCTTCATTTAAGGTGGAAGATATTCCATTGTTGCAAATTAACGCAGAGTTAACACACGTGCAGAGCAGTCAAGGGCGTGAAATCTGGACTTTTATGCCTCGCACGAAATCCGCGTACCCGATCTCTGCGCCACGCGCAAGACTTGCCTTTGCTTGCTTACTGAGAATGCTTCTGCTTCCGTTTTCTCATCGTCTATCTCGTCGTCTTCGTCGTCATTTCCTCTGCGTTTTCTTCGCCAGCAACCATCCAATACGACCAAGAGATAAAACGACAAGTGTACCAAAAGCCCAGGCAACTCAACATTCTTCAGCAAAGCCAATGAGCACCATTTTCAATAGCAAAATTATGAGTCTAGTTCATCGAGCAGTAAGCGCTATGCAGCAGTTCCTCCATGCCCCAAGTAATTTGGATAAAAAGCAATGACACACACTGTGGCGTCATCTCCTCCGTTGGTCGCGCACATTTCGCAGCGCACGCGCGATTGACTTGGGCTGACACTAGAACATCACACGCACCTTCTGCGTCCGCGTGTCTTTCGCCATCCCAAACCTCGAAGGTCATTTCCGGTCTCCCGCCGCCCGGCCGGCAGCGCGCGAGGCGGTTGCGGGGCTGGGGGGGGGGGGGGGGCTGCTGTCCTTCAGCCGTGCCAATCGGGGGGCACCACACAGGTGGCACGACGCCCCCAGGCCTGCCACCACTATATAAGCGACCAGCTCGCTACAGCGAGCAATACGCTCCTTGGTTTCACGGCCAGAACCTCTGTCTTCTTTCTCTGGTAGGCAGGGAGCATGACCGTGCCTAGTCTGTCCTCTCCTATATTGGATTGCCTTGTATGTGGTAGCAGGTCATAGCTCTTTATCTGTTTATTTGCATGTAGAGAAGCTTGTCTGTGTATCACTGTGAGTAGTAGTTCGCAGGCGCTTATAGTAATCTGAGCTATTTATGTGTGTCTCTTTCGAATCACTATCGCTATTTGCAGCTTTGTTGTCGCTGTACTGTTCCTTCTAATGTTAACAGCTATGCTGATGCCAAGCTCGGATCATGACAGCTCTGATCCCGCCGTGCCGGAGCAGGCGGGCTGCCAGCCCCCAGGAGCACCGCTGCAGCCTCTGACCATAGCCCACCTGTCTGCAGATACCATGCACTTCTCTCGCGTTGCGCTGGCGCTGGCCGCCGTCCTTCTCACGGTCGACGCCACCTTCATCGTCGGCACAGCCGGCACGGTGGGCGTGGGCGCCGCCTACGCCGGCGTGGCGCTGGCGGGCGTGGCCGGCCTGGCGCTGGGCGCCGGCCTGGTCGGTGCGCTCGCGCTGCGTCGAGGCAAGCGCTCGGTGGCCGCCGTCCAGCAGACCGACCTGGTGCTGGACACGGTGGCCGCCGCCGACGCCTACGGCTGCGCCCTCAAGCTGGTCTGCCTGATCGAGTCGAAGCCGGATGAGCAGCTGAGCGCTGAAGATCAGCTGATCCTGCAGCTGTTCGGTCGCGCTCCGGCCGCGCTCACCGAGGACGAGGTCGACACGCCGCGCAAGGCCTACTTCTACGCTGCCTACCTGGGCACCTCGCAGGGCAAGGCTGCCTGCCAAAAGGTGTTCCACGCCTGCGAGGCAAGCTACGGCCAGATGATCGAGTACGTGCGCGCCCTGCGGACCTAGCTCGCCCCACGTCCTTCCCATCATCGTAGCCTAGCATCATCCCCACCAGGTGGCCGAAGTCAGGGCCTCATCCCACCATCCCCATTACGCGGTCGAAGTCAGGGATTTTTCTGTATTGGAGGCTGTCTGGTCCCGCCCGCCCCAACTGCCCCACAGCGCGCGCCTCGTGAATGTGTCCCTGGGGACAAAATTCTCGTGCGGCACCCGATCGGCGTCTTTGACGCGAACGTTGCGCCGTGAAACCTGGAGCTTTATTAATGCGCAGTCGGCGGCGGGGGAGGCGTGACAGTCCCCGCAAGGCAACCCTGACGGGGCGCGCACCGGCACCGGAGCCTGGTCCGGCGCCGCGCACAGCTGCTGTTTCGTTGCCAGTCGCGTATCATATCTTGTGCCATGTGATGTTTTGTGCGTTTTCATGTGGTTGGATTGCTCGGTAGATGTGTTCTCCGGGTGATCGCCGCACGAGCGCTTAATAAACCAATAAACAATGGAAAGATGGATTTAATCTGCTGAATATGGGTGACGCATGATATCAACAAGGTAGCGAAAGCAGCGGAGTGCTAGCGCATCCCGGCAAAACGTCCGGTCGCGAGCACATCGATGATCTTTTTGGCTGCTCACGAGCGCTGCTTTAGTGTCATGTTTCCATCAAAGTCCGCAGCAAATAAGCATGTTGCACGTTAACTGCATAGTTTCATCTCGAATGCGTTTCATATCAGCTTCATGGTCAGTGGTATCTTTGGTGCAAAGCACCGACGAAGGTGGCTTTGAACGACGTTTGAGGCCGCCGTGCTCGGGCAGCCAGGTGAACTCGCACATTGCGTTTGTGCTCTTGAGTCTGTGCCATTGGGGCGTTATGACGCACTCAGCCGCTGAGGCTATATGGTGTCGCCTGGCTCTCACCGTGGCAGAATGGCGGGCACCACGGAGAATCGAACCCCGTACCTCTGGTTTCCCAGGCGTGCAGCTTAACCGCTACACTACCGGTTACCTGTGCCCTTGAGTCTGTTGTTGATGTGAGTCAGGCCATATTTTATCAGCAGTAACTGATTTGCTTGCATTTTGAGGACATATTAATGCCGACCTGCATTTTTGGCCGTTTGAGCATTATCACTTTCCACAACCTGCCAGAACTATTTTTGCTGCACTCGTCTCCAAAATGCCGCATGGCAGACAGCCAGTCCTCAGAATATGGAGTGCCGAGAATTGGTTCTTATAATACATGCTTATATTTTCGGCTCTTTTTTAATCTGATTTGGCTTTGATTCAGTATCATATCAGTGAAGTAATAGCTATTGTTCATACCAAATTTGGATCTGTGGTACTCTAGGCACCCTTGGTACTCTCTGGGATATCCTGACCGCATTCATTACGGCATTGCGGTGAAAGCCATCCGCAGATCGCAGAGAGCAGTTTTCTCCTTGCCATCTCTCTGACACCAATAAACTTTTTTCTATTTAACGATCAACCGAAGTATTGTGCTTTGTGTCGGCTCCAGAAAACGCTCTTTTGCTTCTTTCGGCTTCGGTTCTGAACGACGCTTATCTACGCTGCAGAAGCGACTCATGCACCATTATATGGCATGTGCTAAGTATGTGCTAATTATGCAGCTCGCAAAGCTTCGTCGCCAAGGTCATTGTGAAACATGTAATCATCTCATTTGTGTCATTGCTCTCACGTCGTCTCTCTAGTGTAGGTAAACCTTGTTCAGAGACGAACAGTGAAACGTTTGTGCCTTTTTGTGTCCATTTTGATATGCACGCTATCCTGCACTCACGCAACTCATTCTTACGTATATGTCTCGTATCCCAGAATTTGTCTTCAAGTTTTTGTGCACGCTCGGCACCTAAGCCAACATAATTTTTTGCGGGATGAAGGTCTTTAGGTGTAAACAAGTCCCAAAGGATAAGACAGGACTGCCCGATGTGGCTGACTGTAAACCCGTTTGCCCCATCTAACTCACTTGATTCTGTACGCATTCCTTCGCACTTTGATGTTTCACAGCTAATTATCCACGCGCTCAGTATGGCCTTTTATATGACATCATCAGTGCCTTTTATATGACATCTTTGAGACTGGACTGGCTCAGAAGACACTCGCACGATGTTTGGTCCCGATGTTTTTGCTCGGCCCATCCGTCAGCATCCTATGTCACAAGTTTCAGTCCTCACGGTCAGCAGCATTAAAACCGATATGTTTTGCCAAACACCACGCAACGCGTACCACCTGCGCACGAACATCTCGGTGCTGACGCTTGTAGAAGAACATGCGCTTTTGGAAGCTGTGGGCCAATTTTATTTGTGTGGTATCGTGTTACGGTTTTTATCCTGCGCTCTATAACGGAACGACTTTCGTTTGTAACCGACCAAAACCACGCAAGACTTTGAGCTCCACCGCTCAACTGTTCCTATACATGACTACCGGCGTAAGTAGTGATGGAATCCCTCTGTTCTTCACTTGGGATTTTTGAAAAAAATCAACGAAATCGGCCTGATGTCAAAGCTTATTGACAGTTGAGAGCTACATGGAGTCGACTATCGAGTGAATGATTCAACAATCAACTTATCAACCATCAGTCATTTCAAAGCTGTTGGAGAATTTCCAAGCCTCTCAAAACCTCTCTGAGACCACTTTCCGTCCATAATTTTTGTCTCAGATGATCTGAGTGTGCACATAGATGAAAGCGTCAACATCACACAATATGTCAATGACATCCAAGTTCTTTTTACGGGACAGCAAAATCTATGTTGCTTTATCTATGTAATGCATGGACTCGGCACTCTGCACATTGTCCCAGCGACTCAGCCAAATTCAATGGAAGTCAACTACAGGAAAACATAAATCCTCGTTTTCCAAATTCGGAAAATGCTTTGCGACCTTCTAGCAATGTCCGTCACAGTAAGTGGGGAGACAGCTGACGAAATTTCGTGCGTGGAAAAAAGGTTGGGCGACATGATGAATCAAAACGCAGCTTGCAAGCCGCGTGAGAACAAACTGGTTACGTGACCCGAAGGGCTGATCTTCGGTCTGAGTTCCACTAAGCGCGGCGGGGTGACAACTTCCACTGGGCCCGAGGTGACAACTACCGGCGGCTTCTGAGCCTATAAACAACGCGACTACAACCATCTCCGCTCCAGTTCCTGGAGCAGACAAGCTGAGTACCTACCGCAGTGGGCCAGTGTTTTGTTGCATTGCAACGATGCTCCTACCTGGGTCCCAACTATGAGATGCTGGCCTGGTCTTCAGTCTTCTTGTACCGAGTAAACAACGCGACTACAAACCCGGCCGCTCCAGATTTCTGAAGCGGTCAAGCTAAGTACCGATAACGAAATGTCTGCCCGCTTTTAGTATCTGCGTTCTGCAATAAATCGCCAGCTGCTCCGCCTATTGGTGACCTTGGCGGTCGCCTAGGTTATCGTACGGGCCGCTCTGCCGGCCCCAATTCCCTGGATCCCGGCTGGGCGCGTGCCCTCGGGCCGTGCGGGGTCAGCTGTTGAGTGCGGACCGTGCCAGGTCACCGCTGCGGCCAGGGGCGAGCCCAGGGTTGCCTTGGCCGGCTTGGGCGCGGGCGTGAGCGCGGGCCGGCCCTCTGGCGGCCGCGGGCCTGACTCAGGTGTCAGCCGCCCGGCGCGCCGGGGCAGCGATCGCGGCGCCGGGGCTGTAGGGGAGGGGTGTGGTGGCGGGCGTCCGGCGATTGCCGTGCGGGTGAACTATACATTGTGCAGCTAAACATACAAAGTTTGAAGCCCAAACTGCCAGATCTACGTCACAGTCTAGCTGAAATGCATCAGTTTGATATCCTCGCACTCAGTGAAACGTGGTTGTGGCCGTCTGTCCCCGCCCGGCTGCTGAACATTGATGGGTACCGGCTGTACCGACGTGACCGGCCTGCAGACAGCAGACTGCCTAGTGGTTACGGGGGAGTCGCAGTTGTTGCGCGAGACTCGTTTGATGTGACTGTTCTGAAAGCGCCCCATACTGCCGTTGGTTCATCGAATCTTGAGACTATTTGGACGCTTGCTCGACCCGCTAAAGCAAAACAGATTTTTTCGGTTCATTGTACCAACGTCCCACTAACACAGCCCGGCAGGTGTCTGATAATCTCGTTGACTTGGAGAACCAGTTACAATGTATAATGTCCACACATGACTACCCAATAGTGATCGCCTGTGATTTAAACATGAACCTGATTGGCTCGAGCACAGGCACTGGCTGTCAGAAATTGATGCAGCTGTTACGGTCTTACAATCTGCATATGTGTAGCGATTCCTATCCAACGTACCGTCCTGCTGGCTCGCTGTTAGATGTTACGATCACAAATCACAAGGACCTCATTCAACGCTGTGGTGTCAGCGCCTGTCACTGTAGTCCGCATGACCTCACGCGAACATTGCTGAAAGTATCGAAAGAGAAACGCCAAACCAATGTCATCACATCCCGCTGCCTAAATCGAGTTGATTTTGATTATTTCAATGAACTTCCCCTAGCCTATGGAAGTGCGACGTCTGAGAAGTCTAATCGGACTAGTTCAGATCTAATTCACCCGCCAATTCGCTTTTCTCAGGTTTCCCAATTCAATCCAACCCGGCCCGACTTGCCAGAGCAATTTATCAAATAACCCGTGCCAATCCGCTTCCACGTCAAGGGCTTTGTAAAAATTTGATAGCAAATTTAGTTCATTTTAATATTTTAACTTGTAGTGATTTGCTACTTTCCATCAAGAAAATGTACCAAAATATGTCATAAGCCACTGGGTGCTAAGATACCTAACGCAGCTTGTTGCCTGTTGGGAATGCAATGTTGGATAAACATCAGATCAAACAAGGCTTGTCACATGATTACTGATATCACATTTACCTCAGCCAATAATTAATAAGCAGCATGACATCGCAGGCCAAAACCGTCTCTGCTTTCAATACTCTAAAGGCAAGGAAACATTATCTAATATCTTCCGACTCCAAGGTAAGTGCAACAGATCTCCATGTGCCACTCGACAATGTCAACATATACAGTTTACAAGCGCAGGACGACGCCCAACTAGTACGCCTCCTGAATAAATAAAACAGCCATCTCAACTCATATATCATAATTCATGTGTGTATCTTTTGTCGAACACACCAACTAGTGAAACAACATGATCTGCGACAGCTATTTCCCGCTAGATGACCTGCTCCGTCAAAATAGCAATAAACGCGCGCGACTGTTCACTGTTCCTTTTTTGCTAATGGACATTATGAAAACGATTGTATTTATAATCGTGCATCGCACAGCTCTTTGAAGTAATATTTTCATAGATAAGACAATTTCAGCGTTTCGCGTGCGCTGTGAGTGCCAAATGCAAATAAGGAATCCTCCCGCATTCAGAAAACGTGGTGTGAGAGTTAAGTCTATTTCGTCTGTCATCCGACGTCTGTCTTGACTGCTGGAGCTTTACATCTCATAAACGTGTGTATCTCAAGTGGCTACACTTGCCAAGTGCTCTGGTGATGGCGTCGAGCTG